AGGGACAGAATGAAGTTATAAAGGAGAACGACGAAAAGAGGGGAGGGGGGGAATGGCCTCAGGAGGAAGGAAGACAAATGCATTAAGGGGTGATACCAAAATGGCGCCCCGCCGCCAAATTTATTTTTGGTGCATTCCAGTCAAACCGAACGCAGAAAGAGAGAAAGAGAGGGAAAACTAACACGCAGACGATGTTTCGCTAGGAAGATCCGGCCGGGTTTATCTTGTTGGAATACTCGAATCGCTTCTTTTTATTTCGTTTTCCACCTCTTCCCCCCCCCCTATTCTCCGCCCTTCGCCGTGTGTGCTCTCTTTCCATTTCCGCTGGGGAATACGCGCGTGTGCTCGGATACGTCCGTTCGACAGAGTTGGGCACTATCTACAGAAAAAATCATTTAACACGTTAAACGCTGAGGCAATTTTACATTACCTTCCCATTGGAGTAAATACATCTTGTTATAAAAAAATGTTTCAAAGCCGACCAACAATATATAAGCTTTCTGTAAGAAGTAAAATTATTTATTTTGTTAAAATTATAATAGAAATGTAGTCTAATTTTTTAGCGATATTAATGAATACAATACAACGGTCATTTTAATAGGGTTTGTTGAAAAATCTCAAATAGGAATAAGATTTTCCATTAGAATCATATATACAAAATGTTGTTACTTTTGTCGTACAACTTCTAGCACCTTTCATCCCAAAATTCGTCTGGTATCGTCGTCGTAAATGGTTCTTGTGTGAAACGTTCTTGTGAAACGGCTGATAAGCGTCCTAACAAAAGTACATATGTACACGGTCTTGATTTGCCGAGTTTATCGCTGCTCCCCGAAGTCCTTGAAGACCTCCATCCAGCCATCAGAATTTCTTAAAAGGTCATATGATTTCGTAACTTCGCTGTTTTCTCGGAGAGACAACGCGTGATCCATTCTCAGGTCAACTAACAAGCTAACCTATAAAAACTGTGTAACCGATAGAGCGTGGCGGCCATCTTGTTTCCGTAATACGAATCGCAAAAAGACGAATCGTCATTAGAATGGGTGAAAGAAATTCACCTGGGTTCGAGTTTCGATAATATTTCTTCTGCTTTTTTTTCTGTCTTCTACAACATAATCATTACTAGACTGCAGATGTTTATTTAATAAAAAAATAATAAATAAAATATTAAATAAAATTATTATCTATAGTTACCTATATAATTAAATTTACGAATACTTTTGACACCGACTGTATACGTCGCACTCATCGAGTCATTACAGTACTTACGTGGAGACAGACGGTGTGAACGGCGAAACAAGCCACGTGGTTACAGTACACGAGCACTCAGAGGCGGTATCGTCGCGTGCACACGGATTTTGCCCAGGGAATCGTCGCCGTGTTTTTGCCCCAGGTGAAACGGTACAGTTAAGTAACGACAGAGATTTCTGCGTACGGTTTCCACGGGGCTGACCTCCGTCCGTCAGGTTTCTTGTACCTGTGTTGCAGCGAAGGGGGAATTTCTACGGAAAGCTGAAATTTTTAGCGGGGGTCCCAAGCGGATGGGGTTCCGCATGGTCGGTCAGCTTGAACCGTCCACCGGCTGAATACTATCGTGACGTCACTCGCTACGGTCACTGCCTGAATTATTCAGTATTCCTTCGTTTCCACTTGTATATACACCGTGGCCTGGGCTCTTTGTGCTAATGGTCGTCATCATGGTGACTGTCGAAGGAAAGTTTAAAATGCATATATTTTTCATAGTCGGACCAAAAGTAGGTACTTAGTGGACGAATGAACTCTAGTAACCTACGTTTTTCTATTTTTTTTTTGTTCGTTATGGTGGATGTAGAAGATTTCCTGATCGAAACGTTCAGGGACTTCATTCACTTTCATTGCCCAAATAGTGTCATGGTTAGATTCAAGTAGCAGTTGACCATGCTGGATCACACCCATTGCACAACCCGTGTCCTATTGCTCATTGTTATAGTTGCAGGCTGATTTGAATATAACAATGGCGTGCTATTATCGTTGTACTGCGATCCATTCGACGAATAGCAGCGAAACTATTTAAGGGCTCCGTTCGATTTCGAATGAAACACAAAATCTCTCGGAACTGTACGAAACTAAAATTTTATTTTTGGGATCATTCCACGCGAAATTGAACAGTTTTTTGAGTAACATTTCGAATTTTGTTGACACTCGGATATGTTGTAGACTTGATTTTACAACAAATGTTTATGTCGAGTATACTCGTCATAGCTTAAAAATAATTAAGCAAACAACTGCACGTTTTCAAAATGAAACGAAACACTTGAAAGGTCACCTAGATAGAACATGACGCCTTGAAGACGGCTTAAAGATGCCTCAGACGTAAAGTAGACGTAAAATGGGCGTCTTTAAGGCGTCATCTGCTATGTGGGCATTGATCGTCGCCCATGATAGTCATTTAATTTTTTTTCTTTTTTTTTTTAGTATACTTGCTATTTAAATGATCGAATCATAGAAATCTGACGGTGCATCGATCAGAGAATCGAACCTGTGGATTACTCTCGAGGAGGCGTGCGCAGCACGCAAGGAACAACAATAACGCGAGCACTTACGGGTTATAATTATGAAATTAATAGAGCGAACGCAGCGAGCGGCGCAGATCTAAGCAGCGTTGAATCGGTTACTTCAACGGGTGTGAAGTGGCCGCTAATGAAATCTGTAATACATCATAATTGTGCAAACGGAGGCCTGATTCTGATCCTCCAGATATACCATCACGAGAAACGGATTCCGTATTTCCGTGCGTTAACCCGTTCACTGTCTCTGTCGACTGTACAGAACATCAACTTTATCGATGGGTCACTACCCAGATAGCACATGACGCTTTGAAGACGGCTTAAAGACGTCTTACAAGGGAAGGCACGGAAGTGTCCCCCTCCGGTTTTGATGAGACTTCGTATGTCTGTTAAGCAGTCAAAAATAAGGGATGCGTATTTTTGTTTTATCACCTGAGACGCGACTTTAAGGGGTTATGCCACGCAGTGTATAGATTCTTTAAGGTAGCTTCCGCGTTTGGTGTCGTATCTAGCCGGGGCCTCATATGGGGTTTTGTACTTTTTATCAATTTTACCAACTTAATTTAAATATTTCATATTTTTAATTACTGCAAAGTACTTAAATGCAGAAATTTTCCAAATAAGTGGACAAAAATTTCCTTACTGTAAAAAAATTGTATTTTTTGTTTTTAACTTTTAAGAAAAAATTGCAAAATTTGTCGAACAAATCAAAGGAAAACAAGTGACGGTAACGTAGATATGTATTACCAAACGCATTGAATCCTAAGTTTGCATACTTCGTCCACCGAAACCACATTTTTTTAAACGTGCTGTAATCGCGCGCTGGCCGCGTGTGTCAGGGACACATTTCCGTCCGCTATTTTAATAATGGCCCGCGATATAATACAAGCTGGAAACACGATGACGGCGACCGATTCGAACGATGAACGCACGATTCTTTCGACATCTCTCCGCGTCCTGGCTTCGTTATCAAGCATGGCCCATCGCCGGATATCTCGCAACCCGTACCGTATTTTTCCCGCCATTGTATGGAAATGTCAGAAACCTCGTGTTTCTTCGAGGAGGGGGGGGGGGATTCTTTTATGCCCTGCGTCTTTTACGACGAGCATCAAAAAGAAAAGAGGTGGAATGCAAATGTTCCATCATGAGCCGAACAAGAGGAAGGGGCAGACACCCTCTTTCGATCGCGTGTTGGGTATTGTTCGATCGCACGCTCCGAAATGGGCGACGATTAGTAATTCGTGGATAGGCTGTTCGATGGTTAATTGTTTGTTCGATAATGGCCTCGTGACTGGAATAACTAAAACACGCCACCAGTGACCGATTCGGCCCCGTTGTCTATTCGAGACGCGTCCATTGGGATGCGCGATAGGTTGTCCAAAATGGCGGCCATTACAAGTTTACACGAACGCACGAGAATTAGCGATGCGCGATATTTATCGATAACTGTATATCACGATATAACGTTATTTTTTTATCGATATTTTAGAAACTAATAATTACAACCCAGATAGTACATGACGCCTATTTTACGGCTCAGCTGGCAGACTCAAGCACTGATTGGGATCGGGGTTTTTCGTTATTATCTCGTTAACAAAGCCCCGGATAACATTTTTGCTAAGGAAAAACTTGTCCCGAATCACCTAACGAGTGATCCATTTCAGGGACCCAGAACACTTTTGTTACACCCTGTATAAGTATGTATCAGAATTTTCACTTCAATCAGAGATTAGGTAACGCACACCGGCGAAAACGACCGCTGAAAAACGAACAAAATTATTCGGTAAAAGTAAGAATATCATTCGAGGCTAATAGAAAAGGCGAGCCGATGGTTGTTGTACAATAAACAGCCGTACGCTCTGCTAACGACGGTTCTGTGTTCACTCCACCGTGTGAAAATCTCCTACGCAAGGTGAAACCTTGTATTAACGCGTGCACACCGTACAGACGTGGCTCTCTTTCCTCCTTTAAAAATAATCATTGCATTCAGGAAAGTTGCACCAGAAACCAAGACGATTCTCCCAGCGGCCGTAAACGCGCCGGCACGAAGATTTCAATTCCTGAGGGGGGGCGTTAAATCATCGAGTCTTCCGCATGTCATCTTTTAATTCACCTATCGATGCTTTTAGAAATTTTTGAATGTTTATAATTACCGTTCGTTACATCGCATTAATAGAAGTACAGCAAATCCTGGACGAGTGTCTGAATTAAGTATTTGTAAACTAATGGTCATAATGGTGGATAAATAATAATTACCAGATTGCGTATCCAGTCACAGATTGTGATTTACTATTAAGAAGAATTTACCGCTAGAAAGATTAAGTGTCGATAGTAATATGGATGAATAAATAGAATGTAATTACGAAGCTGTTATTTCGAAAGACTGTAGTTTCTGTTCGCTATATAGCGTGAATAGGAATAATCGTTGTAACGGTTATGTCTCTTTGTGTGTTGCAGCAATGCCAGTCATTGATTGAGGAGAACCGACGATTGCAGGACGCGTTAACGCTGAATCGGACGCCCCACACGCGGATGATCGACAACGTAGTGATGCAGACACAGATCGAAACTCTGCAATGGCAGCTGAAACAGGTTCGTGTGTAATCGCGGCTAATGATCATTTAACGGTGACTGAGTCACACGGGGAAACTGGAATAATGCCCTCGACCAGATTACCTTGTTCCGATTATTTAATCCTCTCCGATAGACACCGAAAAATTTTTGCGCCCAGATATAACCGTTTTCTTGATTATATTCCCAACTTACGTCATCGTACGAAGGATTCTTTGAGAGGAAATCCCATTTATGGGGCGCCGTTTGACATTCGGTGGCGCTTAAAATGTTGCTCGTCCAAAAAATAAATCGAAACTGCAAATTTTTACCTACTTAATCCTCATTATTTTTTTAGAAAAAATATTTTCTCATCCAATCGCTCGCGCAGGTAGTATTCTGTCATTGAGGATTAATTTCTCGTTAAAATTGTTGTGTCTTTAGGTTTTCCCATCACTTAAAAGTTGTTCGTCCAATAATAAACCGAAAATCTGATAATTTTTGCATATTGATCTGCACTTTTTTTTTTTTGAAAAATATTTTTCCATCGAATCACTCGAGCAGATAATATTCCATCGTTACGTCGGTTTCTTGTTCAATCGTTCGTGTCTCTTGAGGTTTTCCCCGATCGATTATGCGTATGGCGTCTGGGACGCGAAGATTAATAACACCATCCATTTAACGTGTTTCCTCATTTGCGTTAATTAATTTAACGAAGTATCCTCTCCTTGTACGGTGGTTCCGGTTGGACGACCAGGGACAGCCTCGAAGGCCTGCGATTTTTTTTTTCTTCTTTCCTTTCGGCCGCAAAATACTTTCACTATCTTCGGTACAAACTGCTTCTTTAATGTGACTAATACCGAACGGAATGAGGTCTTGTCTGTGCTACAGTCTGGCCGACAAAGGTCACGTGCACTGAACACGGTTTTACTTGCAACATTTAAATCTGTTTAACCCTTAACTTCGTCACAGAAACGAATTTGAATTTTTCTTTCACTGTCACCGCCTGCTGGCGAATTTCGGAAACTCTAAGCGTTTGAATACCTTCAACTGAAAGTAAGTTGTAAACTATTTCCGAAACAATAACAAAATATAACTTTCAGTTGGTTATTAAAAGTGTCGTGGAATAGTCGTCGGATTATTCATCTCTGAGACGAGTCGTTTGTAGTTAAGAGTTAATTCCTCGAAATTTTTATTCTCCATTCTTGGATCAGACATCGTTCTTCTTTCACTGGACGTTCTGGACCGCCCTGTAGGTAGAACCATAACAATTCCTACTACTTGAATCTAGCTCCTGAGTCACTGAAGTATATGCTTCAATGATTCTAGCTGTTTTATGTCCTACCAAATTAAACAGGATGTCCTGTAAAAAAAATAAAATAAACGTATAAGAGCAATTTGTTTTTACTATCCAAAGAAAAGGGATAGAGGTTAGATAAGGGATAGGAACAGAGAACCGATTCTCAACACTTCGTTTGAGTGCACTCGAACGAGCTTTCATAAAGTTGATCTGAGTTTTAGGGAGCTAAAACGGTTGCGCTAGGGTTAGGGGGCACAGATTAGAAGAGAAGCATGATCATCTAATCATTTTTCCATCGTTCGAAATTACAGACAGAGGCGAACAGCCAGATGTACCGCTGCCTGATGGAGCAGGTGGTGCGTTTCTTGGATCGAGCCCGTAAAAGCTTGGATATTCTTCACGAGAAGAGTACTCTTAAGGACAAGGGTTCGAGCGCAAGGGTGCCCCGTAGTCGAAGCGTTCACACGGTCCACGGTGACTCTTCACCGCACCGTGGAGTCTCGATGTCCACTTCGTCGTCCTCCTCGGACTCGTCTCGATTCACCAGAGCGAAGTCCGTCACCCAGATCTCACCGTGTACCACCGGTTACCGCGAGTTCACCTGGTCCGTGTTACGCAGGAACGACCCGGTACATTGTACCCCACCGCGCAACAAGTCGCAGGATCTCAACAAAACCCACGAAGGTGTCGTGTACAAAAGGCCAAAACAGCTGGAGTTAGATCCGAACGAGATACCACCGGAGAAACTGTCCCAGGAAGCATTCAGGTATGAACACTCTTAGCCTTCACTTGGCCTCTATTGACGACTGTTATTCGGTACGTCGAAAGGTATATTGACACTGTTTTTGTATTAATTGTTCCAGGTTAATGAGAACCGTTCAGTCGTTGTTAGCCATGAGAGAACCTGACTTGGCGAGGATAGCGTCGGTGGACAACAGTGAATCCTCTCCTTCGCCGGTAGATCACCTGCGGCATAATAATAATCATCACAATGAGGTATCATTGCCCCTACAGAATAGTAGTTTCGTGAATTCTACGACATTACAGGAGGCTGTCAGTTACACACGGCGTCGCAGTTGCGACCGTGGGAATGAGACAAGAGTTACAGACAGCGACAGCAGAATGTGCTTCATCAAATCGTCGTCGCACGTTGTCGAGGCTGACAGGAGCCTGCAGAATCTTCTTCCGGGTGTCCGGAGATCCATAGACGCCACCTCGCTCAATTCCGGAAGCAGCAAAACTACCGAAGAAGAGGATTGCCTTCAAATTATTAACCCTCTTAACGGGTCACTGCCAGAGCATGATGGTACGTTCATGTTCACGCCGACTTCGACGCCAAACAAATGCACCAGGAAAGTCGAGAAGAGGAAGGAGAGATATTCCAAATCGAAGCCAGCTGCTAGTGTAAGCAGCGTGGAGGACGAGAGTGGTTTTTCTTCTATGAGCTCCTTTCAAGAGATTGGTTTACCCAGTGCCCTGCCGATCTCTCCCATCAGAGGTTGTCATACAGAGATCGGTCTACCTGAAGTACCATTGGAAAAAGCAAGACATCGCAGATGGTCCTCCACTCCAATTGAAATTAAAGCTCTCCTGAAACAGCATCGAAGTAGCTTTACATCTTCACAGACAACAGCTGAATCCCTGAGCGTTTGGGTTTGAGCGACTAACATGTGAATTAATTTCTGAACAGAAATAACCAGTGAATGTATTGGATACATTGATATTCAAAGAATCAGTGATTGAATGTTGAATGCGACCGAGTGTTGATGCAATGTAAGTTTTGTAAATATCTTCTTCAAGGTACTGCCTATCCACTCTGCATTTTGTTTGCTTTATGTCAAGAGCATTTAGAAAGAAAAGATTATGCGTCTAAACCATGCTTTAAGTCAGAATGTCTTTTGTTGTTCATATTTTGACATGAACTTTGTAAACACGCTGACAAAAATAATGTAGGAAACGAATTTGTTCAGAGCTTCGTTAGGAAATCAATGTGTATGCGAGTGTAGTGAATATCTTCTAAATAGAATAGAAAAAGAAGTACACAATTAATGTTAGTTAGGTGCAAAACATTTTGTACAGTTTGTGTTAAGTATTTACATTATAGAAACAAGTGACAATCATTAAAAATCATAAATAGTATTCAATTGTGCTATAAGATCTTAAGCATGCTGCAATAAGATTCGTACTATAATTTGAAACTGTTTTTTTGTAAGTTAACATTTGACATTTAAAGATAATTTTCAATGAAACATCCACTCCGGTTCTTGTGTTATTTAAACTTATTTCAATCTAAAATAACTTAAAAATAATTTTTAGCATGTGTGTTTATCGCAAGTTAATAAATTAATTTACCATAAATTGTAAATTATTTTACTTCTTTTAACTTTGTATATAAAAGAATTACTTATAAAAAATTCAACATTCAATGTGTGTGAAATTTTGTACAAAAAACTTGCAAAACTCTTAGTTTCATGAACGATTTAAGATTTTTAATGAATCACAGCTCCATATATTGAATAATTCTTGTATTTCAATATATTCAAATTTGTGATTACCACTAGACTGCAGATATTATGCATTCATGGCGAATGCAACTGAATAAAGCATGACACAAAGTTCAATGAAATCTATTCGACACGGACTTTCCCTTTCTACCAAACAAAACAATTAATAGATAAATTAGGTCACTACTTAAGTCTCCGTTCATAAATCACCCATCAAAAAACCATGAATTCTCATAAACATCCGCAGTCAGCTGGTCGTGTCATCGTTAATTTTATTCAACGAAACATGTCACATTTAGGCAACGCGTTACTACTTCGAACATTTCAATTCAAATAAAGAATTTCCTTCAGAAACAACACCCGACGACTTATACAATTTTCGTGCACGAAGCGAGACACCAGCGTGAATTTTAGTCACAAAGAAAAATCTTAACGATAACCGAGTCTTAACAATAAACGATCCACGGTTTATTTAGAAAACGTTATCAACGCGGAAACGATAATCGAAAACGAATATAAAGAGCAACGAAAGAAATGTACATATCGCGATCAAAGTTTTTACGAGCGAAACCGTTGCTCTGTGATCATGGCCGAGAATCGTGGTGTATGGACGCGTGGGGACGAGGTGGGGTGGGGGTCAGAATGGATGCGCGCGCATCGCGATAAGGCTAACGCGAACACGATGCTCGTTATCAGTACGGCAGGCGTCGTTCACTTGTTCGCGAGTCGGTCCAGAGGTTAGCCAGGAGATTGCGCCACCAGCCGAGCCACTTTTAGATTGATTTTCAAGAGCACCGTGCACAGGGTAGCGCTCCGCGTTTATTTTAACGTGGGGCCAGAGTGTTCGAACGGGCCGCGACCGTCTCGGGTGATAGTCGAAACAGCGTGACGAGGTGAGAGGTTCGGGTGCGGGCGCCTTTTCTCTCCGCCGGTCTGGAAGAACGTCATTCAATTGTGTCCCACGGGAGGCACATTGGTTCCCATCGTCGCGCTATCCTCGCTGCTCGCATTAGAAATCCCGTCATCTCTCTGTCCGACCGCCTGAACGCGTGTGTGCTGCTGTCCTATCTGCTACGCACGTATATACATACATACAGAGTTGCAGTTTCGCGTGCACGGCACGTATACACATACACAGGCCCAGCTAATATACACACGCCTCTCGCTCGTGCACCATCGCGCGCGGTGTTTCCGTACAACACGGGGGGACGGAGTAGTGTGGTGTGCGTGTTGTACCTCGGAACGTGCGGCTTCGTGGCGCAGTGCGTGAAATGAGTGACAAGGACCGTTCCTCTCCCATCCTCGTTGAAAACAGCCTGAAGTCGCTACTGGACCAACCGAGTATCTTCCCACTGATCGGTGAGTACTGAACCCACGATGATCTATTCCGATTCACAACGCGCGTGTATATCTTTAGAAGGCTCTTCTTGACGCGGGCTCGATATACATTCCCTTCCCCTCCCCCGCCCTTTTCTCTCTCTCTCACTCTGGTGAACCCGTCGCGCTCGATCGTCTTCTAGAACAGGGATTCTTGATATTCTTCGAAATTCGCGCAAAATACTACTTCAGCGCTGACTGGCGGCCGTCAACGGAATATGAAACGTATTTTTTGTTTCATCTCTCTCTCTTTCCAAACGCGTTAAGTGTATAAGTTGTGTTGTGTTGTTCTCTCTGTCCGCTCGATCATTCTATATTTCCCCCGGTCACATGGATGTTTTCTCGTCGTGTGTGACGTTCGAACCTTTTTCCTTGTACCGTTCTCGATTCCTGGTCTCTGGTATCCCGGTGACGTCTGCAATGCACGTTGAGGGAAAACCGGTGGGGGAAATAGATGGTCGTTCAAAAGACAACGCGCAAAAATAAGCTGTAAAAGAGGGAAAAAAAAGAGCAGCAGAGGAGTATAGAGTTAGCATTTGTGTTGATTGGTTGCGCCGGCGCTCGGTCCCTCGATTAACCTCGTTTGGACCCCATGGTGCACCACGTGACGCTACTAACCTAACCTCACTTTCACTTGCTCAACCTGCATTCGTGCTTGTACACGCTCGGTTCAGTTCGGCTCGATACGGCCGCCTCGCGGGGCGGTGTATTAACCTTTTCCGATTTGGCCATGGAACGAGGCACTATTAATGCCATGTGAGGATTGACTCGAGGGGAAATTGACAATTTCGAGGCGAAACAATCGAGACGCGTTTATCGGAGACTGATCGTCGTTTCTGGTTTGGTTTCCCCGTGCATGATCGAAACGGCAAGATACGTCGTTTGAATATCGTTTTGATTAAAATCGTCGAACGCGTGCTTCTTTTTCTCTTTATCTAGAAGACGGAGTGGGGAGGGGATGCAGGAAGGGGAAAGTGAATTATTAAGTGTACCGATAAGTAACTCCACCGTTCCTGTTTAATACACATAGAATGTCACGGTGATAACCGGTGACCGGCGCCGTTTATCGAGAAATACCAATTTTGAAACGGTAATATTTACAGCCCTGTAAACACAATTAATAATAGAGTATCGATCGACGTAACGAGTGTTTCATGAATGTATTTCGTCGTATGATATTATTCAAACGGAAAAATTCGGCCAGTCATTGTGTCAGTAAGTCTGCTGATATAGTTTGAATTCTCAACGTCTTCCCGGTCTTTTCGCTTTATATATGGCGGAGATTCGAAAATGAAAATTACAGGTTATTGACAATATTATATTGCTTTTGATTTCGGAAATTTCGATGTTAATTACGACGTAATATGATTGATCACTTATCGGTATACGTAAAATGATATTCGTGGTATTTATTTAGAAGGTTACCCGTCAGTGACACTTGAAACGGTATTAATAGTTTTACGTCAGTTCCGTAAATGGAAATACAGCCGTCATAGACTCGGATAATTGATGCGTAACCTCGAATAATGGTTTAAAGTACATTTAACAACATTACAGAAAAAAAACCGTCGCGAGTCGAGGAAAGGTTCTAGTCCCTTAATTAACCGCGAATGTTTATACGTGTGTAGCAAATACTAACTTTTCACATAAAATTACAAGAGGAAGTACCAACAAAAAAATATATAACTCCAAAAAGTAGAGGCCACTTACTGGTAGCTATTACTATAATAGATTGAACATTGTTTCACTATTATTTTCTCGATTTCTACGGGAAAAAGTGTAATTTTTAAAGCACCGTGAACTGTGTATCTCTCAAAAGTCAGTGTTCATCAAGATGTCCGTCAGCTCCTCGTTGTTGCTCTTCAACCAATCCGCTTGTCATGCTCATCACCAGTTGATCCAAAATCCAAAGACTGACGATCTTGACATTTCCAAGAAACTAAAAACTCAAGATTTATCGTTTTTGTTGTATCCACGTGGATCGTCGATGACGATTGTTCTTTCAGTCGTATCGGACTGAGGCAATGAATTCGACTTTCTTGCCTAGCTGCATTATCCACGGAACAAGGTTCGAGTCCGCTTCAGGTGTCTAATTGTAGCTCGTGCAATCGTTGCGCATGCTCGAGATTCAACTTTGCCTATCGGTTCGAAAGAACGTACGAATAAATAAATAATTAAATAAATAAAGGACATATCGGTGGTTCGTACGAGGAACTCACGTGTCCTGTGTGAATCACACGAAGTGCGCGATCGGTAATTATTTCGGACGTTTGTCCCGTGCGATAACTTCGCAAACCCAGAGACGATGAATTAAGGACAGTTCCCCGATTCAACGTAATGGCTTACTTCCCATTCAGCTTTGCAGCGAACGGTTCGAAACGACGCTCGCGGCGGAATAGGTCTCATTGTAAGGTGACGTCGAACGATTAATGTGCGTCATTTTCCTCGAACAAAACGTGGAAAAAAAAGATAGAAGAGCGCAACGTTTAACGAGCAATTCTCCCCGTTTGCCAGCAATTATGGCCGCGTTACATTCCGTTAGGCGTGTCGGTTGAGCCTTTTTTTTTTTTTTTTTTTTTCAAAAAACGTGTAGATGCGAATGATGACGGATTATGTCGAAAGAATTTGTAAATATACTTTAATCCTTTCAGATCTGAGTTTTCTTTTAAGAGTGAAGAAGTTTAACAAATTTTTTTTTAGAACAAGATTTGTTATTCAATTCTGAATTTATTTGGATCGAAAAGAATTTTCTAAAATAAAAGATTTTGCCATAGTACGAAGAAGTTATTTTATTTACATTAAGATTCAAAGGATTGAAATGAAAACAAATAATATTTATTTATTATCGCCCATCACTACATATATCATACACTGGAATGTAAATGGAGTAAGGACACATCCGTGAAATCGACTCTGTTTTCGAAATCCTCTAGATTGCGTGGTTTTAAACGAATGTAATCTCTGTTTATTTTCTAACGATTTATTATTTCGATCGTAGATAAGTACCGTGTCCCGTGAATCAGGCAGGTTATTGAGATAACTAAATAGAAAGTCCAGGTCTACTATCGTTATCAATGTTTTGATGCTTGGGCCTACCCCCGCTTTTTGATCGTCTACTCTCCGATTTTGTAATCAGTATCGAAACGTGGAG